TTCAACGTTCCATTTAAATGAAAGTTAATTTTATTATAATTCAGATAAATATTTCTATTCGTTCGTTTCATCATTGGTCTGATTTACAAGTTCACGTTTAACCCTTTAGTGATACACTATTTGCATTATTCGAACTATCATCTTTGTCGCCATATTTATTACAACGTTTCGGCCGTTGTACGCTCCGGCCTTCTTCAGATTGTTGGAATGTCGAAATGAACCCTTTATTTCGCTCACTGGGGTAGACTGTTCTAGTTCCACGTGCCATGTCTAATTGATGTCAGTTATCAGTTATCTCCTGTTAATTCCCCTCTCCAAGTTCTCCATCATCTTAACCAGGTATTGAACTCACACTCTTTGGGACTTGTCACTGGATCTAACTCCTTTATCTTTGAGGACATCTGTGTATGAATTACTGGGTATTATAAACCTACTGTCCTCAGCAAACATTTTTTACCAGTGCTCATATTGCAATTTTTGTGTTATCATTGAAGGCCGGAGCGTACAACGGCCGAATTGTAATAAATATGTCGACAAAGATGAGGACAATAATTCGAATGATGTACATAATACATCATCTCAGAAATATAGGCAGACCTTTTACTGATTGTTTACAGCACTTAATAAGAATAGAACATCCGGGATAAACTTTAAATCAGATTAAATTAAAAATATTTTTTAATAAGGCAAAAAATTTTTTTAAATCTTATTCATATGAAAATATATTTTAAATATCTCAAAAATAATTCTTTTTAAACATTTAAAATATTGTATGTCTAAAGAAAGCTGAAACATAAATAATTATTCTACAAACAACTCGACGAAACATCAAAGTGGGATCTCTTTGTGTCTGTCTTTAACTTAAAAATATTTTCATTACAAAATTGTCTGTTTTAAGAAAGTTAAAATAAAACTACTTACTGTATGAACAACGCATATTTTTAAATCTTATTCGCTTAAAATATTTGTAAAATTAGATTAAATTAAAAAATATTTTTCAATATTAAAAAAATTGTTTGTTTAAAGAAAATTGAAATATAAATAATTACTCTAACTGGACGAAACTACAAAGCGGGATCTCTTTGTGGATGTCTTTAACTTAAAATTATTTTCATTAAAAATTAAAAAAAAAAAGTTTATTAGTTACTTGGCTACCCGTGACCCGTTGAGTCACTGACGGTTCAGCTTATAAAATATTGAAGTTCATTTCAACATTTAATTGAAATGAAAGTTAATTTTATTATGATTCAGTTAAATATTTCAGTTGGTTCGTGTCATCATTAGTCTGGTTTACAAGTTCATGTTTAACCCTTTACTGATTGTTTAGAGCATTTAATAGGAATAGATCTTCCGGGATAAACTTGAACTTTAAATCAAAAAATATTTTTTAATAAGCCAAAAAATATTTTTAAATCGTATTCACTTGAAAAAAATTTTTAATATGTCAAAAATTATTTCTTTAAATATTTAAAATATTGTTTGTTTGAAGAAAGTTGAAATATGAATAATTTCTCTACAAACAACTGAACGAAACAACAAAGCGGGTTCTCTTTGTGTCTGTCTTTAAAGTAAAAATATTTTAATTAAAATTTGTCTGTTTGAAGAAAGTTAAAATAAAATTACTTACTGTATCAACACCTCGTAAATCATTATGCGCCGGACAGATGCACCACACAAGCACGCACAGACTTTTAGTATTAGATAGATAGATAGATAGATAGATAGATATGAACAGATTGACATACACACGGATAGATAGATATGAACAGATTGACATACACACGGATAGATAGATAGATAGATAGATAGATAGATAGATAGATATGAACAGATTGAGATACACACGGACAGATAAATAGATAACTGATGAAATAGTTTTATTATATATGTATAAGGTAAATGTATCAGTAAATGATTTTACGACAAAAATGCATTCTAAGTGATAAAATGAATTGACAGCAGTCAGTAATTACGGCCCGTATTAGGGACAGATAGATCAGAACCCTAATATATAGAGGTTTGCTCAGGGTGCGAGGCGTGATTATGTGAGAGGTGCTGCTGTTGCAGAGAGAGTGATTAAAACGTTGTCAAATTGTTATGGTAGCGGTTTTCATCAACCTCAGTTCTCATATTTGGGTGAAACTCAAAACGGAATGACCCACCTTACTTCACACCCTAGACTGGACCTGAAAAGAAAGCTCCCCAACCGCCATTACCGCATGTTGTCTGACGTGACTAACGATGTATCACATGCATTTTTAAAAGATATAATTAGAAAAAAAAGACAAGTCTATATATAAATAAAGACAATAAATTCGTGGCATATTCTTCAGAGAATCGGTATGCGACACTATATTTTTATTCCATACGAAAAGGAGCGTTTGGACTGTGGCAGGGTTTTTATAGAAATGTCTCAAATAATACTTAAGTGCATTATTTACATTATTCGGACTATTGTCCTCATCTTTGTCGCCATATTTATTACAATGTTGTACGTTCCAGCCTTTTTCAGGTGGTTGGAATGTCGAACTGAACCCTTTATTTCGCAACGACACATGGCACAGTGGATAAAGGCTTTAGTTAGATCCAGTGACAGGACCCAAAGAGTGTGAGTTCAATACCCGGCTAAGGCAGTGGAGAACTTTCAGAGGGAAATTAACAGGAGATAACTGATAACTGACATCCATTAAAACATGGCACGTGGAACTAGAACAGTCTACTCCAATGAGCGAAATAAAAGGTTCAGTTCGACATTCCAACAACCTGAAGAAGGCTGGAGCGTACAACGGTCGAAACGTTGTAATAAATATGGCGACAAAGATGAGGACAATAGTCGGAATAATGTAAATAATGTACATAATACCTCATCTCAGAAATATAGACAGATACTGGATAAATATGGCGACAAAGAAGAGGACAATACTCCGAATAATGTAAATTGTATACATAATACCTCATCTCAGAAATATAGACAGATACTGAAGGATCGGATAAATATGGCGACAAAGATGAGGACAATAGTCCGAATAATGTAAATAATGTACATAATACCTCATCTCAGAAATATAGACAAATATTGAAGGATCGGATAAATATGGCGACAAAGATGAGGACAATAGTCCGAATAATGTAAATTGTATACATAATACCTCATCTCAGAAATATAGACAGATACTGAAGGATCGGATAAATATGGTGACAAAGATGAGGACAATAATCCGAATAATGTAAATAGTGTACATAATACCTCATCTCAGAAATATAGACAGATACTGAAGGATCGGATAAATATGGCGACAAAGATGAGGACAATAGTCCGAATAATGTAAATAGTGTACATAATACCTCATCTCAGAAATATAGACAAATATTTGAGTGCCTCGAAATTATTTTGCCGAAAACAAATAATGAAATGAAGGAAGTTATCTCTAACATGTTATTATTTACTGTCCTTACCTTGGTTTGGTACAAGACCATAAGTATTTGAGTCTCCATTGAGAATCGAAATCAGGATTAGATTAACTAGACTAACTCGCTAACCATTACCCTGACCTATGACACACTTATAAATTCAGTTAGTATTTACTTGTTACATTTTCTCACAATGTATGATATACGCAGTTAGGATCAAACTCACTACAGTGACGGTCAACCAGACTAACC